TTGAATCCTCCCCTTTTCAGTCATTGTCTCAATTTGTCTCTATGTATGCTGAACATTCATTACTATCTTGCTATAGCAAATCTCTTCTTATTTTTAAGCTTATAATGTCCTGTTCCTAGTAAGGGTTGCTGCACTCCTCTGCTTCTATCAGCCTGCTTCTCTGTCAGACTTGGCCGTTTATGTGGCAAGCAGTGTCTTGATGAATTGAGAGAAGCACTTTAAGATACACATCAATGCAACACCTTCTAACTCCATGCAGTTCCCTCTTCCCAATGTTCCCCTTTCCATGTTTTCCTGGTTCCCATGCTTCCTCCAAAAATGAAATTTGCCTGCAGAAAGCCACTACACTTTCCGATGGAAATTTTGTTGGAGAAGGCTAAGTGGCTCTCTCCTGCCCTCAAATAGCCTATCTCATTTCTCTTGGAAGTTAATCACGTTCACTTTTATGGCTATGCCTAAATGATGACTTCCAGATGTTTTTAAGTGTCCAAAATAAAAGAATGGGGATTTAGTGGCTATTTAAGTTCCCAGAAACTTTCCCCTAAAAATAGAGATTTCAAAGGCATTATTTGGCCATCATTTTTGTCCTCTAGTTTGGGTCACAATATCTGTTATGAAATTGGTTAATAATGGTAACTTATTGCCATGTAAGGCCAAACAAACAAACAAACAAACAAACAAACAAACAAAAACCCTTTAAAGGCTGCTCTCAACAAAAGTGCTTGAAAATAGAGGAAACACAGTTCTGACACAAGGCAAGCAATAGAAGAGACCCTGGTGCCTATCAAAAAATATTTGTTGAGCACCTATCTTGTGCCACAAATAGTGCTAACACTGGGGAAACAATAATGAACAAGACAGAAACAATATATGCCTGCCATGTCAATGCAGAAAATAGCCATTTATAGCACAGACCAGAATGGAGGCAAATGAAAATCAAGTATTTGAAAACTATAAATCTGATTTAAACATTTTCAGCATTTTAAATAGAAGACATAATTATATAAATAATTTGAGATCTGTAAAAGCTCAACAATATCACTTTGGAATAAGGATGGTAACTACAAATCTACTGTGAGACAATATATTTTTAAGAATAATATACATTGTCCTGTAAGTAGGTAGCAATTGGTGAGGCAATATCTCTAGACCATCCTACTGCTCAAATTCCCAATACTCAGGACCAAAATCAATTCTTAAATTCTGAGGAAAAGATGATTTTCACAAATTGTTCATCTTTAATACAGTGACAATATACTTCAGAGCTAAGAGCTACATATTTCCAGATGAACTTTTTTAAAATGTTACATAATTCAATTAGTGCACATTACTTAAATCTCTGAGATCATCCTCTATCCCAGCACTGTGCAATAGAACTTTCTATGATGGTGGTTATGTTCTATCTCTATATTGTCCAATTCAGTAGCCATTATCCACATGGAGTTATGGAGCACCTGAAATGTGGCTTAGTGTGATTGAGGAACTGAATTTCTATTTTTGTTTAATATGAATTTATTTAAATTTAGATAGCCACGTGTGGATGATGAACGGCATAAATTTAATCTTAAACTGAAGGTGATTCTGTGAGTGTCGGGGGAAAAAAAGTCTCCTTCCTTTGAATTAATTTTCTCTAAGTTGAGAAATTGTTTAAACACTGAAAAAGGCAGAAAAATCTCTACACTAACAAGACTGAATAAATAACAAAATAAAGATTAGTACCTGATTTAAACAAAATTCAGGACTGCAATTTCACTCATGACCTGACTGAATTAAAACAAACAAACAAACAAACAAAAATATATATGTGGTTGAAAATCAGTGCATATAATTAAAGGAAAATAATCCAAAGGATATGCTCTTAGATTAATCAACACTCTAAAAAGATTTTAAATACCTCATGTTTTGATAATGATTGTTCATTCTTTATTTAATACCTACAACGTGGCACGCACTTTACTTATAGAGGGATTATATTGCAATGAAAATATCCCCCGAATATCCACATTTAACCTGATGCATTTGAAGTGATTTAATTTCCAGCAATTTCATATATATATATGAAAATTACATATATATATATATGTAATTTTTGAGTTAGAAAATAATATAACCAAAAGATCACTTGCTTTTGGATCTGACTATAAAATCGAAGTTCAAATATATTGCTGCTTTAAAATACATAGCACATTCCTCCAGAAAATGGAAACAATATTAACATATATTTCTAATAGGTGACTAATATATAGTAAAAGCACTAATATGATATGCATGAACTTTTTACAAAAGACATCTTTGATTAAAATTATTTTTCTGAAGTGGAATTTAACCTATGACTTCCCAAGGAGTCATCAGAAAGATTTTGATTAAAATAAAATCTGTCTTGCTTAGTTGTACAGAAAATTGGTTTTAAATTTGTATGTGAAAATCATTTCTAGATGTTTGGAGTTTGGGAAAATAATTAATTCTTTTATTTTTCCAGCTTTATTGACATAGGATTAACATATAACATTGTATAAGTTTTAAGTATACAAAGTGTTGATTTGATACACATATATATTGCAAAACGATTATCACCATAGCATTAATTAACACTTCCATCAAATTACATAATTACTATTTCTTTTTTTGTGGTGAAAACACTTAAGATCTGTTCTCTTAGTAACTTTCAAGTATGCAAGACAGTGTTGTTAACTATACTCATTGTGCTTGCTGTAAATTACATCCCCAGAACTACTAATTTATCTTATAACTGGAAGTTTGTACCCTTTGACCGTTTTATCCACTCTAATCTCCATTTCTATAAATTCAGGATTTTTAGATTCCACATATAAATGTGATCATACAGTATTGTCGTTGTCTGACCTATTTCACTTAGCATAATGACCTTAGCAGGATTTAAGAAAGTAATTCAGTCTTTCAAAAATATTTCCTTTGTGCTAATTATGTACCTGGCACCATGTTTGATACTAAAAACGTGACATTCTTCCTGAACAAGAAACAAGTTCAGGTAGTGCATCAAATTAAATATTGATGGAAGCATTACCAATTGCTTCATAGCCATATCTGGATCAACTGATGGACACTACTAATGCCAGATACATATTACTGAAATCTTTCTCTTACTTCCATATATATATAAGCATGACAAACAGCAATACATTATATCATACTTCCATTCCATCTGCTAGACTGACATTACTATATTTTGCTTTGGGCCAGCTAGATTGTATATGTATAGATACACAGTACATATGATCTGCCAATGAAACCAGTTTTACAGTAATATATATAAAAAAAGGCTCTGATATATTCATTGGTCACTCTGATTGGGCTTTGTTCTAAAAGTCACAATCAAATAACATCCTGATACCATCTAGGTAATTTTTTAAAAAATAAAAAATTGCATACAAGGTAAAACTCCAATTTTGTAATATAATATATACACTTACAAAGGAGAAAAAAAAGTCATCCAAATTTGTGATAAGATTGTTGGCGATTTTTATTTTCTTATTTACATGTTTCCATATTTTCCAACCTTTCTACAATGACCACACATTACATTTATAATCAGTGAAAATTATATATGTGTTAGTTACAGTAAAAATCACTCTTGCAACTGTTCCAAAACTAGTGCCAGACGAAGGCCTCACATAGGGAAATAGGTGTTGACTACAGGTGTGATTTTAGAGGGTTGATGCAGGAGGCCCAGGGGCAACCCCATTAGCTAATGACTGGAAGGTCTTTAAAGTAAACAAAGACTTTCACTATGTAAAGTTAAGGTTTAAAATGAATATTCCTGGGGAAAGGGGAGTAGTAACATCTGTTCTCACCAGGATGGAAATTGAGAAAGGCAGCTTTTTCTAACTCTAAGTCCTGGTTAGATCCCTGGATAAATGCAGTATTGCCTTCTGGTGACTCCATAGAACATGTTTATTTAAGCATTTAGTAAGGAACATTTACAGAACTATTACTAAAAACCATATAGTTTTCAAAAGTAACACTTTTTTCTGGTTATAAAAATAGTATAATATTTTTTGTAGAAATCCTGGAAAATATGGAAAAGCTGGGGAATAAAATAAAAATAACCTATAATTTCATCGCCCAGAGGTAATAACTATGAGCAGTTTGATATATAACCTTCTAATAATTTATTCTAGATGTGTGTGTATCCTGCTTCTTCACATAAAATTTTATCCTGAGTGTTTTCTTACGTCATTAAATATATTTAGTAAACCTCATTCTAATGACTGCTTAATATTAGCGATGGCTTAAAATATCATTTTTTTTTTTGAGAAACAATATTATTGTATCTACCATGGACCTAATTTATCATAAGAACAGATTCAAAATGTATTTGATATTTAAAAAAACTAGCCAAGGGATTTTTCTGAATTAGTGATCTCTTGTGGGTCTAACCAACATCAGAATTTTGACTCTAAAAATGATTTTGTTTTGCTCAAATCTCTAAATACACCTATATTGTGCACAATGATAAATCACTCATATTTTCCAAAATACAGCCTTAGGCTTGGAAAAGTACAAGTCCCTAAGAAATATTAGATAGTAAAGCATGGCAGGCCCTCCCAGCCAGTCTCTGCCTGCTGTAGCAAAGCAAATCTATCGCAGGGAGCTTAAAGGAAATATTTAAGTCAAACCGAGAAAAAAGTATCCTTAGCACAAACTTGAGCTTCTGAGTAAGTTCATCTATTCAACCTCCAAACAATAACAGCAACAAAAAAGCTACTGTAATTTTTCTAATTTTTTTTTTAATTAAGAAGCTACATAAAACAATTCTATTTACAGGCTTCCCCAACCTCTGCAAACATTGGCATGGCGCATATTTGCTAAGCAAGATGTCCGAAAATTATTTTACTCAGCATACTAATCACAATTCCTTTCCAGTACCTGAAGGGAACATTTTATGTAAAAATTTGCAATTTCATTTTAAAAGAAAACTCCATTCCCAATTATCTTTGGTGGTTTGGTGATCCTTTCCTTACCTGCAAGACAGTTTAGGATCAGAAAGACCTTCCAAAAGGCCAACACCATTGTGTCGAAGTTCGTCCAGCACAGCCAGGGACCAGTAGCTTGCCTGGACTAGGCTGTGTTTCAAACTGCCTTCTTCAATTACACTGAAGTTTGCCAGGCTTATCTGTCGGCATCACCAAGCAAACAAGCTTTTTCAGGCTTACTTACTGGGTACAGACCTTTCTCAGAGCAGATTTCTGTTTCTTTGAAACACTTTTCATGGGGCGTGTCTCTTTGATATATTTGCTACAGTGTTAATAATAAACCCACGTATTTAAAATCTTCAAGTTCTTTGTATACAGATTCTCTAAGTTTTACTGTTTAAAATCAATCTTATTAAAAGTTATACTTGGTGGGGAGGATATAGTTGGAAGAGAGCCTATGAAAATAAAAACTGACAAGGCTAATTAATTTCAAATATTTCTGTAAAAGTCTTACAGCATTGATTCACTAATTTTTTACAAATTAGGTTAGTAAATTGGTGCTCTAAGATTTTTCTTAAGAGATAGGGTTCACAGGAAGAGCACAGGGGTTATGAAGCAAAAAACAAAAAATAAACAAACAAACAAAAACAAAAAATAATATTCATTTCTATATGAACAAACTCCAAACCTGTCACACTTTTTTGAAGCCCTGGCAATTCTCACCACCCTCCACCAAAATTGACAGTTAAATGAATTACACACTTATGTCTTCCGGGTTAGAAACTTTGCAGCATTTATTCACTCACCTAATTTTGCAAAATCTGGTGAGCTAATAAATGCTTTAAGACTTTCATTGGATGAGTCTGAATTTTTGCAGAATTAGGTAACTAAATGGGTGCTATATGGTTTCCTTGGAAAGGGGGTTCACTAGGAGGGGATGGCAGGCTGCACAGGTGATAAGTCTTCATGTGAACATGAACTTCTAATAGAGTTCTTTAGTGCTTAAGTTACCTTGAGATAGAAAAGGAACCCCTCTGGTTCTTCCCACGTGATCTCTTAAGTCCTACTGTTTCCATCTCTACAGTGATTCTCCAATTTGTCCCTTCTCCAGTCTGATGCTTCCATCTTGGTCCAGGTACTCAGCTTCTCATCCGTGGCCTACTATACCAACTTCCTAAGTAGTCTCCCTGACTTCTTTCTCTTTCATCCTGGGTACCAGCCACATGCCAATGTTTCAACTCTGATCAAGCATCTTTCAATAACACCATTATGGACTCTTTCATCAAATCTAAAGTCCTTAATCTGGATTCCCAGCCTTCCCAGATCCGGTCCCCACTTCATCTGAACTTTAGACAGGTTAAATTATCCACCCAAAAAATGCCATCAAGATTTATTGCCTCAAAGTATTTAGTCACATGAAGTATGTGCAAGTTTCAGAGATATGTTTTATGAACTGTAATTTATGGGAAATGTTTGACCCTATCTCAAGTTAGCCAAGCTAATTTCCTACTGCCTCTCAGAAAGCTGTTTCACTCCATCAGGCTTGATTCCTTCTCACAGCCTTCACTGTCCATGCTTATACCAAGTTGACTCCCCGTGACTTGTATCACTACTTAGAATTTTCTCCTCCCTCCTCTTGTTATCAAAATATATTCTTAGCACAGATAAGTCATGCTTTCATATGTGAAACTTTCAGTAAACCCACATACCATCCCTCTCAGGACTCTCCCTTGGATAAAATCACATTATACTTAGAGCCAATATTCTACAGTGAGCACTTGATTGCTGTAGTTTCCTATTTATTAACTGAATCTCCTCTAAATCCAGTGACTGCGAGCCCCTCCAGGGTAGGAGCCACATCTTATACAGACAGTTCCCAATTTAAGAAAGGATGTTTCCCAGAATGTATTGGTAAGCCCAATGATCAGACCCAAGAATATACATTCCTG